AATCAAATGGGAAAAATTTTAATCACGATCATTAGTGATATTTAATAAATATTGATATATTTTCTAAAAAATACTATCAGGACTATGATAAATCACTTTTGATTCAAAAATAGAAAATGCTAAAAATGTCTCATATAAAACTGTTTGTAAAAACTTATAAAAAAAATTTATCATCGAAACTCTTTTAAGATTGAATAAACATAATCAGGGTAGACGATCTAAAAATTGAACTGTTTTATTATCAGCAGTTCATTTTTGGATTTAATTTATTATGGTCTAATTTTTAAGCAAATGATTAAGTAGAAATAAAAGATCTAAATATTGAAACGACAGTTTTTAATTAGTCATGAAGATATATTAATCAAAGGGTAAATTATTAATGAATAAATAAGCATCTAATAATATCAGATATATTCTTAAAATGGATTCTTTTAAATAGATTCTTTAAAATATTTCGAATTAATATTATTAGATTTTATTTTTAATTAGATTTATTCTGCCAAAATTTTATATCTTAATCCAAATTCTTCGTTGATGAATTTAAAGATTTCATAAAATATTTTCTAAAAGATTCTCTACTTATTTATAATATAAATGAACAAATATATTGTTATGTAACAAATTTATTTTAATTAAACATCTTTTTTCAAGATCTTATGCATGTAAATATAAATATCCTTCAATCAAAATTGATAATGTGCAAAAAATTGATCTCATATAATTACTTATATCAAAAGCTTAATCATTAAATTATCCTATTATTGAAATTAAAGCTTCTTTTAAAAATAATAACTCTTAACATCTGATTAATTTTTCTGAAATAAATTTTATTGACAATTTGCTTTGATTACAAATACAATTAACTTAGCTTAGCTTATGAAAATATATTCTGACGAAGGTTATCATGAAGATATAATAATTCGATATTTGAAAGAAATCAGGGCGAACTTTTGATTAATTTAAGAGAAAAATTGTATTATTAAAAAAAATAATCTAAACAGAATTTGCTGAATTGGAATAAATAAACTAATGTTAAATTTAAAACTATGGTTTAAAATCAAACTTCCTAATATTAGGGTAAAAAATTTAATATGATTTAAATGAGAATAGTGTTAAAGAAATTTTTTATTAGGGATACAACAAATAAAAAATCATTTCATTATTTAAAATTATATCCTTCAAAAATTATAATTTAAACATCTCTAAGTATTTAATCTATAATAGGAATATATTCTGACACTTATTATATTTAATATGCAATCATTAGTTATAGTGTTGATAATTTCTCAATATTGGTTACTTAATGCGAAAAGTTTTTAACAATTATAATGCGATTGGAATTATACCAAAATTCATGAAAATTTTATTTTATAGATTTGTTAATTTTTGTGAAACTCACTAAGGGGTATTTATATTTAATAAAGAAGTAAAGCAATTAAATATTATTTGTCATAATAAAAATACACCTTTATATTATAGTTTTTACATATATTTAATTTTTTATTATTACTTTAGCATACCCTTATTTATTACCTATAAGTTATTAAACACTGATGTTCCTCAATTAAAAAAAGCCTTATTTATTAGTTAATCAGACAAGCAAATAATTTTCTTATTTTTGTTACTCATTTTTTGTCTTTTCTCTTTTTACAGAATCAATACATAATTATAAAGTGTCAAAAATAGTTACAAATCAAGATTAAAGAATAATTATTAAAAATTTGAATTTGAAGAATAAAAAATAATCATCATTAAAAATAATAACTTCTAGAAACATAAAATAATAAGGTACTTCCTGCCACTAAAGAAGAAACTGTTATGTTATAGAAAAAATAATAAAAAAACTAAATTTAAGTTTAAGAAAAAGTACTTTTACAATAATTTTTACAAATTTCAATAAGAAAATTGAATCATTTTCTGATTTATTAAAACCTAAGTAGAGAATTTACTTAATCTAAATTTGGAATATCTATTTAAGTTATTTTATGAAATTTTTATCACCACGATTATTAAAATTTGCCCTATATAATGATGTTGTATTTATATTGAACCCTTTCGATTGTGATAAGTTCAGTGTATTTTTATTAGCACTTATAACTTAGAGATGTAATCCTACTGTATAATTCGTTTATTTAATAAGTTTCAGATTATCATTGTAATTATATTAATTTATACTTTGAATGAGCGTTAAAAACTGCTAAATTACTATCTTAAATGACTTCATAAATTATTGATTGGAAGAGTTAATTACGAGTGGAAGAGGCTGATGTAAGTGCTAGCTTGATCAAATAATTGAAACAACTTGATACTTTAAACTAAGCCAAATTTTAAGTTGATTGGCTGAGTATCAATCCTATTTTGAGAGAAATCTCTTTGACGACTTTTAAAAGAACTAGATATCAAACTACAATAACTAATATATCAATATATCCTATAGATAACAAAAAAGGTAGTTGTAATGGATCTATCCTGGAATCCTTATTTTAATGATGTAAAAATATATAATAGGAGAAATCAATAATAAATCTATTGAAGTTCAAGTCTTCGTCTGTATTGAGGGATCTTTCATTGCAAGTCATATGGAAGGTATCCAATTCAGGGTTTCCATCAATGCTACCGATAGGAGCTGATTAGGAATGAATGAGAATAATGAAAATATGTAATTAAATAAACACATAAAAAATAAATTAAAATGGAAATTTCTAATTCTACAAAATAGAAATAAGAATAGAGGACTTAAAAGAAAATTGAATTTTAAGGAGTTGATGGATATTAAAAATTAAAAAACCTTCATTTTGTAGATTATTAAATAGTCATAGAATTATTGATTAAGTAATCTATTCATAAGAATAATGAAATCATAAAATGAGAATCCAAGATGATGGAATTTTATGATTCCAAACTTTCAAAGAATTTGAATTTCTAAATAAGAAAACTGATTAAGAGTCCTTCAAAACGCTTTATAAAAAAAATGCTTAACTTAGATTTATCCTCGAGAAGTTAATTTATAAAATTAAATGGCTAAAGATTTGATTCAATTAATCTTTTGGGAAAATACTAATATGAAAAAATAACGAAATTGCTAAATGATAAAAAACATAAAACCTTTTTTATAAGAAGCATCCATATGATTTGAATCAAGTGAAATCTCTTTATCAAAGCAGATTATAGCGTGTTCATATTAATTCTAATCCTATAAAATAAGACCTAAAATTCTTAATTGGGGATAAAACCTTTTTGATGAGAGGCATTAGCCAAATTTTTATCTAATTGGAGTACTTGATTATTGTCATTTGATGCACTTCCTATATCACTAATAATATCATATAAAAGGCCTTACTTATTAAATTTAATTGAATATATATCTATTATAAAAGGCTTAACTATATTTTGGATTGATTTCAATTTCTTACCTGAAATCACTTAAATCTTAATCAGTTTTTTGTTCATCCATATTATAACACCCTTATAGAATAAATTTTGTGTACCTCGACAAAAAAATGCATGATCACAATTACTATCTTTATGTATAGCTTAATTGTAATATTTTAGTTAATTATCCTTTTATTTCAAATCTCCAGTAAGTGCTTACAAATTTATTTTTATTTTGCTAACTATTCTACAATATCCAAAAGTAACATTTGTATTAATAAAAACATCTTCAAAAAATCTTCTAAATCAAGATTAAATTATTATTATTTCCAATGAATTGTTGCTCAAATCATAAGATTTAATTTATACCTCTTTTGATAATAACTTTCAACATTATTGTTGTATATGAATTAACTACTATTTGCATCTTTCAAAGCCTTATCGTAAAATTTCATTTTTTATTATATTTCACCTAAATTGATATTAAAACATTAAACTTCTTAAATTGTAAGCTACTGCAAATATTGATTTCAGATTCAAAACAGTATTGTTTCTAGTAATGCTTCTTGAATTTTATAAGTAATTTCAAATTCCTATAAACGATTCCATTAAATAATTTACCTTGCTTCTTGAATAATGCTCAAAAGCAGTAGCAAATATCTAACTGTTGTTGCACATTTTTGAGAAATATCCAAATTTTATTTTTAAAGAATTCTTTAAATATTATAGCTTAAATTATTTTTCGATTGATGAATGGATTAAAGAAATTGATGTTCTTCTTAATTTACAAAAAGTAAAATAGAATAAGAATATTATAACTTCTACTGATCAATTTTATTGTTACTCTTCAATTACACAGATTTGATCTGAAATTCAAATCATACTCTCTTTCTTGATGAACTTCATTGATTCTTTTCAGATTTATGTTATTTAAATTAATTATTATATATCTAATAATTAATTAATTAATTTATAATGAGGTTAATATAAAATAATATAAAAATTTAAATATTTTCAGATCATTCTCATAATTTAACCAATTTCTTTTGATAAGAGTTATAAGGAAGGAAGTTTCCATTATCCAATCTTAGCAGAAATTTCATTGTATCTATTTTATTTTAGAATTAACCATACAATGTCTATATTACCTGAATTGGATACAGAATTTAGTAATCATTTATGAGATAATTTTCTACTGCATCGATCAAATTTACTTAGAGCGAGTCATGAATATNATAAGGGTAAAATAGAACTTCAGAAAACTTGAAAATATTGGAAATGAATTAAAGTAAAATTTAATTCGAAGATGTTTGGGAGAAAAGAAATTTAATGTTCTTCTTACTTGACAAAAAATTGAATAAGAAAAGTAAAAAGAATCATGAACATGACATTTTATTATTTGGATAAGCAAAGGCCTTAAATTCACCAGGTAGATTTACAAAATGTTAATTAAACTAAAATACACAATTATACTTTATTATTTTACAACTTGAACTTGATGAAATTATCAATCCAAAGGAGGTTCAAATCTATATGAAAGTCCAATTAAAAAAAAGTAATTATAATATAAATTTTAGGATATATAGAAATAATCTCAAAAAGTATTAAACTTAACTTCAGAAATTAACCTGTAAATATATGCGAAGATATCTTAATACACTCTTAATGTTATTTTCTCAAATGAATATAAATCTATGTTTTTATATAAATTTTAATTTACTTTTTTTAAATAATAATAAACTAAATAATCATATTCATTTAAATTTATTAAGTTCACTTAAAAATAATTATTAAATACCTTATTTCTTTAAAAAATAATAAGAAAAGCAATTGAAATTAACATTCTTCATTATTTATGTAAATTGTAATCCCGAAACTAAATTTTAACGAAGAATTAGATCATAAAGTTTAATACTTTTATTTTTAATTAAATTATATTATTATTATAATAATTATTTTTCAAAATTAAATCAAATAACTTTTTTTTAGATACCTACCATTTATAATTGAGAATACTTTGAATCCTTTATCCTATTCCCTTTTATAACCTTATTTTTTTATTATTCTTTCAGGAATGTTAATTATTTTTTTTTTTTTTTCATTTAAATCAATTAGGATATTAATGTAAAAATTAAATAATATAATTTTATAATGAATTTTAATATTTTCAGATCATTCTCATAATTTAACCAATTTCTTTTGATAAGAGTTATAAGGAAGGAAGTTTCCATTATCCAATCTTAGCAGAAATTTCATTGTATCTATTTTATTTTAGAATTAACCATACAATGTCTATATTACCTGAATTGGATACAGAATTTAGTAATCATTTATGAGATAATTTTCTACTGCATCGATCAAATTTACTTAGAGCGAGTCATGAATATCTACCCAAAGAATCAGTATACCATACAAAATTTGTATGTTTGTTCCTAATTTTAATATAATTTTCGAATTCCTATTGCTAAATATAACCATTAGACCCAGTGATTTCAAGTTTACAACCTCGTTCTAAAGAGTAAAGATGGCTTGATTTTTAATCTGTGCACTCATTGTAACATATTTCAAAATTAATTTTATTTAGATTTACAGTAACTAGGTCCAATTTATACAATATAATTAAAGAAAATTTATGAATTTTATTCATTAAATATAAATAAAAATAGGGTTCAATAGAAGGTGATGCTAATTTTACTTATGCAATTATTAATTGATAATAACTATTAAATAAGTCTTTCACACAATTAAAATAGTTCTATTATAAAATAAAAAGAATTAGAAATAAGTAAACCTTAAAGAAATTTGAGTTTTAATGAAAGACTTAACTTAGAAGAATATAATATTATCTAATTTCAATTGAAAATTTTAAAGTATATTTAAAGTTAAGAAATTTCTAAGTATTTTCTCATAAAAATTCAAAAAATGGTAAAAACAATTTGATATATATATTGACACTTAAAAAAGGGAAAACAAATTAATTTAAGAATAGAAAGCCTTAATAAAGAATTCTTTCAAGATAATTTTGATTCTATCTTCTTTTTAGGTTCATAACTTAGAATAATATCTTAATAGTAATGATTATTATAATATATTATTTAAAGTTTCATTTTTCATGGATCTTAAAATTCTATATTAATGATGTCTTATTCTGTTTTTGCTTAATTATAAAGTATCTATTTCACTAAACAATTGTTGGATGTTATAATTATTTTAAATTCTTGATTAACAGATTATATTTAAGCGAATTTGGGAAAATAACTTATTAAATTAATTTGAGAGTGACAATAATGATTAAATTGATAATTCTTCCCAAATGAAGAGCAAGAATTACATTTATTAAATTTAGATATTACTCGTTTTCCTGTAATACAATTAATTTCAATAACAAAATTGATATTCTAAATAGGTTTATAGACTTTAGTGGAATATTCTCCAACAGTATTATATATTTAATTTGTCTACAGTATTTACACTAAAAATCTAGGTCTATTACTTTATGATCTATCTAACTTTTAACTGATTCTTAAAGTAAAGCATTCTAATGCATAATTTTTTATTAATTAATAGGACATCCATAAATCCTAAACTGTGAATTCAGATTAATCATAAGGACCCCCTTTCATTTTAATATATAATTATTACATTTTGTAAATGAATAAGATACTGTTGAGGTTCCAATAGTTTTTTATCCGTTCAAAGTCAATTAGGTTCCGTAATTAAACTTGATTCCTTGAATTGGCTATATGAGCCATTTATTCGATTCCAAATTTATTGCATTACTGGTATAAGCTCATACATTGACACTACTTTTCAATTATTATCTATCTTTAATATTTGTTTTGTGTGTATTTTATAAATAAAATGTTATAAAATACAATGAATTACTAATTAATTAACATATAATAAATATATATAAATTGATTAATTCTCAATTTAATAAATAATGAATTATTAAACTAAAGGTGTTGGACATTTTAACAATCCTATAATTTATTTTTGTAATCTGAACAATATTGATTTTGATAGAGAACCTTTAAAACTAATTCAAAATTGGTCTTTCATACACTAAATAAATAATAATATAAGAAAAATGACTAACACAGCTGTTTCATCCTGATTATTGTCTTTATTTCTATTAAACCAAAATAAAACCTATTTTCAAATAAATAACATTAACCTTTAGTGTTTCATGCCTATCTATTCTATAATGATCTTCTATCCTCTCTTGCCAAAATCAATTTAGAGAACCTAATTTTATAAAAGTTAATACTAGAGCTCTATTAGAAATTCACCTCTGTTGTAATGCGCATTTCATTGGATCTATTGACAAGGCTTCCCCTTGGCTTAATCCTAAGAATTCTAACATGGAAAAATAATTTACCCATCTCGCAGGAGAATAGAGAAAATTTTCAGCAGAAAAATAGTTTTTAATATTAATTATCTAATTTTTACCATAAATTAAATAATTATCATTCGTTATTTTTTTATATTAAATGTTTTATTAATTTATTGAAAATAAATTGCAATTCATGAAATATGATTTTCTGAGTTATAATAAAAATAATTGCATATAGTGTAAATTAGAATTGTCTAGTAAAGTGATGAAATTAAAAATTTAATTTTTATATTGTAATAGCAATTTTAGTATTTCTAAAGTTATATAAAACAGTTTCTATATAGTAGGTATACATAAGAAACTTTGTATCAGAAAAAAAAAATATATATATCTTTAATTTACCTCTTAAGCTTTGGAGGTGTTTGATTCAAATAATAAAAAATTTGGACTACTAAATGAGAATTAATAAGGAATTTCTGAACATATATTAACTATTTATGTGAGGATTTTTCAAATTACTTTTAATACAATTTTTGTATGAACACATCGTATTACAATTGTCTGTCCAAGTAGCTGTTTTTCCTGAAATCAATTTCTAGTAGCCCTATTATTTTATCAATAACTTCCTTAGAAAACTATTTTCCTAGTCCCATAACCATTTTAAATGAGTTAAGAGTCTGCCACTTTTTGATTTAGCTCTTCTTTTGTAGCCATATTGCTATGTTGTCACTAATTAGGGGAGAGCATATAAAATCATAATTTCGTTAGACATCTAAATGGTAATATTTTCTTTAGAAAAGCCATTCTTTTTGATCTTTGAATTACTGCAGCTCTTGTTATAATATATTACCTCTTATATTAATTCTTACTTCAAGATATCTGAAACTCTGAATCATATAATTAACATACACAAAATTAGGCAATAAAGTAAGTTCAAGAAATGAATGCTGATTTTGGCGAAACTGATTTATTAGTAGCATTGATTTAAGGCATTTATAATGAAAATTATTAAAAATGCAAATATCATTCTCAAGACTTTAAATGCTTTTTACTGACAGATGGAGAGGATTTTCTTAAAAAATCAGTAAGTTAGTATAAAAAAAACGAAGACATGAAACTAGAAATTAATCATTGCAGTGAGTATTTAGTCATAAGATTAGCTGAAGTTGGAAATGGAGAATGTTAATTAGTAGGATATAATGAAGATATTAATTATAAAGTTATAGATTTGTTAGAGGATTCCCTAAATATTTATTTAAAGTGATTTTCATTAATTCATAATATTGAAAAAATTTCATAGATTATTTTTGATCCCAAATCAATACCTTAATTAAAGAAAAGTTAAGAGCTAACTTTATAAATTTTATTTTCAAAGAAGGAAAATTTAGAATTCAAACAAAATTAATTGTTTTGACCTAATACTCTATTGCCTCTGTTATAATTATAAGTATAGTTAGAATCTAATTCATTTGATTTGTTATAATTTATGCAATTTATGTGTTTCCAAATTTATATTAAAAAAAACGGCCTATTTCATTATACTAATTTTCACACCTCGTTTATTATATGCTTCAGAATTATTAGGATCCAATTCAATTGCTTTATTGTTCATTATCTATGTTTTCATAAAGATTCCTAACCAAAATTATATGTTGATTACCTCTATCGAAATAAAAATCAGAACAATTAGGATCTAATTTAATTGCCTTCTTAAAAGCTATAAGTGCCTAATTAGTATTTACAATTTTAGTAAATAGAAGTCCTATTTAACTTAATAATTCAATAGACCTCTGCTATTATAAATACAAGCATCATAAAGGTCTAATCCAATAGCCTTGCTAAAATCTAAAAGTTTTTCCTCATAATTTCCTATTTGATATAAAAATTTCCTATTTAATTAAATAACCTGAGATTCTCTGCTCATGTATGCAAAAGCATATTATATATCCAACTCAATAACTTTATTATAATCAAAGAGTACCTAATCATTATATACTTAGTTTTTATATAAATTTCTTATTCATATAAATGATAAAATACCTCTGTTACAATATGCCAATATAGATTTTTTATCAATTTCAATCGCTTAATTATAATATTATAAAGTGTCATCTTTATTTCCAATTTCATTCTTCACACATTCTAATTAAAATGGAGACTCTTAACCTATTCTCATGTAAGCCAATGATTATTTAGGAATAATTTTAATGCATATTTCACAATTTTTTTAAGCTTTCATAAATATATTTTTTCGATAAAAAACTGCTACTAAATTAATTAATACACCTTGCTTTATGATAAAACGTTTCTTCATTTGAGGCTCTAATTCAATAGCTTTATTGAAATCTTCAACTACCTGATCCTAAATTCTTTTTTTTAAATATAATTGCTCTAAGTATTTACGATTATAAGAAACCTCTCTATACTAAAGCTTTCGAATCTTAAGAATTAAGCTTCAAAGCATCATTTATCAATTTTAAAGCTTCATCAATATTATTTTCTTTAAACTTAAACTAATTAGCAAATCTAATTATATATTTAAAAAACAAGCTTAAGATAATTCTTCTGCTAATTATTAGTTCTTTCTATTTTCTTTTTCTTTTCTTGATTATGAATTTGAGTCATTTTAAATTTTATATAAAAATTAATAATATATAGCTAGTAAACATTTAAAATCTTTTAATAAAGAAAGAAATAATATCCTAAAGAAAATAATCTTCAGTTATTTTGGTTAATTCTGATATTTTGGATTTGGAAAGTAGATGACCAAAACAACAAAAATAAGCTTTTTAACCTAATTTAACAAAATAATTAAAGAAAACTCCTAAAATTTCCTCTCATCCCTTTTAATCCTTAATTCTCTAACCCATTAAAACCAAATTTACATACCATCCATTTAAACATCTATGATACTCTATGTTCTATTGGTTCCTATTCAAATGAAAATCGACACCCCAAAACTTCATCATCTTTTCATTAAAATTGAATGATTTCTATTATTAAGCCAAAGTTATCTTTCTTGACCAGTTACTTAAATACCTAACAATACATTAATCTCTCTCAAAAACTTTATATCCTTATTCTTTTATGACAATTTTTCAGCTCTGCTAAATTCTTGTATTAAGTTATCTTCTATTAATAGTAAAATAACAACTAAGATGGCATTTGTTCTAGTTCTACATCATCGATTATAAAACCAATTTTAATTACTCCTGAAAATATACACCCATCCTTATTCCTTAGACAAGTAATCCGTGCTCTCCTATTCAAACTTATTCATTTATATATAAGTCTGCAAATATCTTTTAATATTAATGGTTTCTTCAAATTTAACTCTTACTAATCACAAAAATTTCATTTAAAATATTCTTATTTAAATATATTGTGTAAATTTTTTGAAACTTATGTTATTTTATTCTATAATTAGTTGGGTTAAATAAATTTATAAAAAATAATAAAACTGTTCAAAAAGTGTTTATGTGATAATATTGAAAATTGATATTTGAAGTAAAGGAAGCTATGAAGATTTTTATAAAATAATTGAATAATCCTCATTATTTGTTCAATACTTTATTTTGTAAATATATTTTAAATTTTAAATTATTTTATATATTTTGATTTATCATTCTCATTCTTCTCTATATTTTCTAATTTATATTTCTTCAGATAAATCATCCCAAGTAATAGAATACTATCCATCATTACTCAATTAACCAAATATACCAAATGTATTAAATTGAATAGATTACTCAACTTTGAATTCATCTTTTTCTGTCTTTCTTATAAAATTGATATATTTATCGTGTTTACTCACTAGTATCTATTTTTATTTAATATATTATAATGGAAATAATTACCAACGATCATTACCTTAATTTACAGTAATATCTTTTGTCTTAGAGAACTATTTACTTACACTATTCATCTCATAGACATGCATCAAATTGCCATTCCAAGGTTAAAATGTGAATAGGTTATTGTTGATAAAGCATAATCGATATCCTTAACAATCAACATTTATATTTTATATAACAATCCACCTTTTACTTTATTGAGAACACTCAATTACCAATATTTTATAATCACTACTACAAGAAATAACTTTATCTTGTTAATCATTTAAACTTATTTAATAAACAGAACTAGTATGATCAGTAATTGTTTATTAACAAAGCCATTCATTTTATTTAATCCAAAACTTAATCGTTTTATCACTACTACTAGATATAATAAGATCTTCATTATTATTCAAAATTAAACAATTAATACCATAACTATGTCCTTTAATTTTTTATGAGGAATTCCATTAATAATTGTTATTTCTTGACCAAATTACTATAGATCCACCAGAATCTCCAGATATCAATTAATCTGATTATTACATGAAATTTAAACTGAATACATAGTTACTATGTTCATTTAATTCTTGAATTAATTTCATCATTCCTTATTTAAATTCATATATTTTAATTTGTTTATCATTACAACCGATAGCTACAATTGAACTATCTTTATTAATTGCAATACAACGACCATATTATAATTACTTAATTGGATTATTTGAAATTAATTAATAATTAAATGGTTTAACATTGAATTAAGAAGATGGAGGTTTAATTTATTATTATGATGGTTATTATGATTATATTGATTATTCTTAATCTTATTAATGTGATTATAATTTGAATTTAACTTAAACTTTGATTTTTGAATTGATTAATGGTTTAAGTTCTTATAGAATATTTGATTAAAATTGAGATTAATCAATTAAATGGAGTTAATTTAGTTTTGGTAAAGATAATTCGAATTTAGTATTGTTTAACTTACAAATTGGAGAATCTATAATCAATAATTAATCAATAAAATTATTTATTTTATTAAATGATTACTAAAACAAATTATAATAAATTATTACATCTAAATATTAATCTAATTCTTTCATGTGACATTCTAACTCTCTATTTATTATTTCTTTTCTTGACATTTTTTTTTATATTTATTAAATAATTAATTAAATTATAGAAATTTTTTGAAAAGAATAGCTATTTAAAAATATAAATTATTTGAAGAATCAGTCCTCTCCTAATACTAAATTATAAATTAGTCAAAATAATATATAATTAAGTATTTAAAAATGAGATGATATATTTCCTTTAATCATATTAATTTGCCTAAAGCATGAAAGATTTCTTAAAGTAATGTACTTATATTTCTAAAAAGCTTTTTGCTAACTGCTTTAATTTATATTTTTTTTAGAAGATTAAGCTTTCTAATAAAAGATAAACTTTTAGATATTCCTATATCTTAAATTTAATGGTTTTATCTAATAAATTATGATTTTATCTTTAGCATTCAAAAGAAGCAGACAATAGTAAATATCTATTTTCTAACTATTTCCTTATTCGTATAAATCACTTTTGGTATCTCTTATTGATCAAGTATTTAATAATCAAATCAAAACAAGTTTATCAGACATAATAAACATTAAAATTTTACTTTATTCTACTTTTAATATTTTTTTTCACTTTCCCCTCTAGATTTTATATAAACCATTTAAAAAAAATATAATTATAACCATGTTCATTCCAAAAAAGACATAAATCATCCTCTGTTTCAAAAATGATAAGAGAACTTTGCTGAGTCTAAAATAAATCAACAAATCCTTTGATATTATTTTATTTGCATTTATTTAAATAGCCAAATAAGATCATTTTTCTTGAGGATTGATTATTTAGTGTGTTCTGAAAAACCAGCTTCTTGATTTATACCAATAACTGGTCCTTATGAGTTTTAATTTCTGGAGTTCAGTGATTTCAATTTTTTTTCGATATCAGGGAAATTCAAATAGAAAAATGAGGTCGAAGAAAAATTTGAAACTTTTTTTCCTTCTTGTCTGATCTAGTTCCCAAGAGAAAGATATCAATCTAATGTTTGATAAATAAAATTTCAATAATGTTAAACTTTACTTTTATTGTGAAGGTTAAGAGGATAAATCTGGATAAGAGAGGTTTAGAAATACAGATTAGTAATTCAGAAGGTTAGGGAAAAATATAACACCAATTAAAGGAATAATTTAGAATGCATGATTTAAATTGAAAAGAGCTTTTTAAGAAAGGAAAGGATAGACCTGAATAACATTCCTTAATAATTTATATTTAGTTTATATATCAATAGAATTTAATTTGAAATAAGATGATTTATATCGAAAAGAATTTATGATATTTCTGGAAAAAAAATTTTAATAAACTTTCAATTCTTAGGGAG